CAACTTATATGTGGACACCAAATGTCAGGTTCTTAATACAGTGGTGGCCCCCACCCACCCAATCAACCATTCAACCTGCCAATCTCACCCTCAACAAAACCTCGACGCATACCCAAACACTCTTAAGCCCTTACGTGTCGGACACTCACTCTCACCGCTACTCATCCTTGGCCACGTCTCCACATGCCCTCTTCCCCGCCTCTACCGTGGACGTCAAACCGGCCTCAGAACACAAAACGACAACCGAAATTGGGAAGCCAGCTCCGTCCCCCAGCTACATGTCGTAAGCCTAAAGGACATGAGCCTCCCCCGCTCGCTCCCCGCCACGTGTCAGCGCGTTCCCGGGAACCCTGGAACCTTCCACGCTAACACGTGCGTACATCGAGCGATCGTAGCCGTAGCATGCTCGGCCGGTGCCACTTGGAGATGGGGACACGTGTCGTGGAAGTATCGGCCCCGAAAAGATTATTTAATCTTATCCAGAGGGAGCTACGAAGCAAGCTCTTTCGTTCTATAAATGCAGGAGCTTCACGAGCCTCCCTTTTCCCACACAAAATTTTCAAATCCCAAAAACAACGATCCGAAAATTCAAAATTCAGAAAAGCTCCCTGACTGGAAAGAGAATCTGAATCTCCAAAAGGAAAAGGCAGAGGCGAAAAATTCATAAACTTTCTGTAAAAAATTTGAACTTTTGAATTCAATTTTATTTTTTTCTCACGTTTGGGCTTAATTTCTGTTTGGCTACAAAGAAAATGGCGTTGAGCATGACGCACCAGATCAGCGCGCTCTCCGGGACTCCGATTAGGTCGACCGACGCCACCTCATCATCCGTGGAATCGGTCAGCGCGTCGCCAATGCGGAAGTCTCCGGCGGCGGGTCTGACTTGCAAAATTCAGAAGCCGGAAGGGGTTGACAGGCTGTCGCCGCCGTTGAGTCCGTGCAGATCGCCGGTTCTCGGGGCGAGCCGGCCGGATCTGTCCATGGCGTGCAGGGCGTTCGCGGCGGAGGCGGAATCGCCGGTTCTGGAGCACCAGGTGAGGGGTCCGCACTATAAGGGGACGGGAGTGCCGGTTTACGTGATGATGCCGTTGGACAGCGTGACGATGCACAACTCGGTGAATCGGAAGAAGGCGATGAACGCGAGTCTGCAGGCGCTTAAGAGTGCTGGGGTGGAGGGTGTGATGATGGACGTGTGGTGGGGGTTGGTGGAGAGGGACGCGCCAGGCGCGTACAATTGGGGCGGGTACGCTGAGCTTCTCGAGATGGCGAGGAAGCACGGTCTCAAAGTACAGGCTGTGATGTCGTTTCATCAGTGTGGCGGGAACGTCGGTGACTCCGTTACGTGAGTCTCCTTCTCTCTCTTACTTCATTTCCATCTTTCATTTTTTCACGTTTTTCTCGCTTGGTTTTTTATATTCACTTTCACGTGCGATGGTGGAGCGTTGGTGCACGCTCCTTATGTGAACAGAAAGTAAATTTTTGTAAGAGAATTATTATCTGAACTCTATAAATCTTATTCTGCATTTTAAATTTTCTATAATTTAAAAAAAAGAATTACGTAGAATGAATTGTTTTTTAAATTTCAGTGTCATAATTTAAGTAGTTGTAAAATTTATTTTTCTAAGTTTATAATCAATTTAATTTATACTTAATGTGCCGGCTTAGCTCGCGTTGCGTTGAAAAATCTCTTGGGTTTTGTGGTTTTAATAAATTACAAGATTTGTTTTATATTCTTCCTGAAATTTTAGCAGCTCGAAAATTGTGTCCTGTTTTCGATTTTTATTGACATTGTACTTGAAATTACATTGTTACATGGAATTCTGGAAATTGATGGCTGAATAGTGTGTTTTTCTTGAATACAGCATTCCTTTACCCAAATGGGTTGTGGAGGAGGTCGATAAAGATCCAGACCTTGCATACACTGATCAGTGGGGAAAGAGGAATTGCGAGTATTTATCGCTTGGCGCTGATACCCTGCCGGTCCTCAAGGGCCGCACGCCAGTCCAGTGCTACGCAGACTTCATGCGTGCCTTCAGAGACAACTTCAAACACCTCCTTGGTGACACCGTTGTGGTAACACTTGAGGCTCTTTAACTCTGAATAGTTGAATTTTGAATTTTCTGAGTTGGCTGTGATGGTGAAAAAACTTGGTATTACATGTACCAACATTAACGGACAAAAATGAACCCCATGTCTCTATTATTTTTGCTGCATTTTGAATCTTGAAGTTGACTCTCATGTGTACGAGGATGATACATAAAGTCGCTATAAATCCAACCAAAAAGGAAAATAAGCGAAACCCAATAGATAATGAATATGTTCCCTTTTTAGTTTTTAATGACAAATATATGGGTCTTCAATGGTTTTGAATCTTTAGTTAGAACCTGCTCATACATGCCTTGCTTGTTAAGCTAAATTGTTTCAAAATTCTCCTCAGGAAATCCAAGTCGGAATGGGTCCAGCGGGTGAGCTGCGCTACCCTTCTTATCCAGAATCGAATGGGACATGGCAATTTCCAGGAATTGGCGCCTTCCAATGTTTTGACAAGGTATCTACTTCATCTCTTTCTCCTCTCTGCCAGTAGCTTCTAGTTTTATAGACCGCAACTAATATATGATAAAACATTATGCAGTATATGCTCAGCAGCTTGAAAGCTGCTGCTGAAGCTGCGGGGAAGCCAGAATGGGGTAGCACAGGCCCCACTGATGCAGGTCACTATAAAAACTGGCCGGAAGATACCCCATTTTTCAGAAAAGAAGGTGGAGGCTGGAACACTGCTTATGGTGAATTCTTCCTCGGCTGGTACTCGCAGATGCTCTTGGACCATGGTGAGAGGATACTTACCTCAGCTAAGTCTATCTTCGAGGAGGCCGGTGTGAAGATCTCAGTAAAGGTTGCAGGTATCCACTGGCACTACGGGACCCGGTCCCATGCCCCCGAGCTTACAGCAGGGTATTACAACACACGATTCAGAGATGGTTACATTCCTATTGCGCAAATGCTAGCACGCCATGGTGCCATCTTCAATTTCACTTGCGTTGAGATGCGCGACCACGAGCAGCCACAGGAAGCTCAATGTTTACCAGAGAAGCTTGTTAGGCAAGTGGCTATGGCCACACAGAAAGTAAACGTACCACTTGCCGGTGAAAATGCCCTGCCAAGGTACGACGATTACGCGCACGAGCAGATCTTGGAAGCATCATCTTTGAACGTTGAGGGCAACACCCAAGGCAACCAGATGTGCGCGTTCACATACTTGAGGATGAACCCGCACCTGTTCCAGCCCGACAACTGGAGGCGTTTTGTGGCGTTTGTGAAGAAAATGAAGGAAAAGGGTAGCCGCAAGTGCAGGGAAGAGGTGGAGAGGGAAGCAGAGCATTTCGTGCACGTTTCAACACCTTTGGTGCAGGAGGCTGCTGTTGCTCTGATGCACTAAGAAATTCAGGATACGGCTATTAGCTAGCTCGCTTCTACCGCAGTCGAAACTAGCGATGATTCCTAAAATGCACATTCGTTTACAAGGTACAAACATAACGGCAAGAACAGTTGCTGCTCCATTCCCTGGTTAATTTCTCCGTAGCTGATCAATCCAAGTTGTGGTTATGGAAAATGAGTAGGGGTGTGGCGTGTGTGTACCATAAGATTTGGGGGGTAGGTAGCGATTGCTGTATCAATACCCCCAAAGAACCATATCTATCCTCTTGATTCAACATGATCTTTCCCAATTCATATATAGTTTCCTCTTTCCTTTTCAAGTGTTGAAACGTACAATGCCAATGGTCAAATATGATGTTACACTCTTCCATCTATAGCTATTGAATATTACAACTGTCAAAACTTGATTGTCTTTAATTTCCTGTAGTTGCTCACGCTACTGGGTTCGATAAAGTTTTTCTTTTATGTTGTCTGTCACGAATATTCATCATTTCTAATCCTATCATTTCAAGGACTGAAATGAATCAATTTTGTTCACGAGTAATCTTTAATCATTTAATTAGACATAAATTGTCATTTCTCACCCCCCTTAAAATTAGGAAGTTTTGAATTCGAGTCCAATCCGATCCAATTTATCATGGTTTTCAAGTCATATTATTGAGGGCAAACTGTTCATGTCGCAAGTCCAACTGTTCCACTTCAGAAACATGTTTTGATTTGTAATTCAAATTCTGGAATCCTCGCCTTGCTTGAATACTCATATTTGGAGAAGGTCTCTCAGTACTGACCGGCAAGGACTGTAAATGTTGAAAACTTGAAAGGCAACGTTTTACTTCCTCTGGAAAACCTGCTATAGCACGTGACAAATCACGTGTATTGGTCCCGGGTCTCTAGAAGCTCCTTCAAGTTGTAGCCACAGAGAGTTGTATGGTCCAAATTACAACGTTTTATTTCATAATAATTTTGTCCATTTTACAATCACGGATGTTCAAAATATTTCACACAACTCAAGTCACCTTCAAATGACTCAAATTCTTGCTTATTCTTAACTTTTATGATAAAATTTAACATTCTTCAATAAACACTGTTTAGTTAAAGCATAACCACGTGTTATACGTTATATGTATGCTTCAAATTTTGTAGCACGATATTATGTTTTAATTATAAGTAATGCTAATCCAAATTTACAAATCAAATGATATGTCACCAATAAGAAATAAACTCGTTAATTAACATTTAACTAATAATCCAGTTATCAACTTCTATGTCATTTCATTTATATATGTGATCTACAAATTTGGTCTATCTAGCATTTCCCTTTTAATTATTCATACCTGTCACAATATAAAAGTCATCACTCAAGTTTTTCTCGTCCCCAAGCCAAGTGCTTGGTGGTGCATAGTCCTCTCCCTTCAAAGGACCATGTCAAAATTTGCCGATGGCATACAAATTGTCACTCAATGCCCATTTCAAGAGCAGAAAAACACGTTGCAGAAAGACTCGCTCCCAAATCCATGTGTCACTCACTCCTATTTGGAGCCATAATTTAGTATATATTACCTTTACAATCCCAGTTTTAACATCAATCAATAAACGTTTACATTAAGAAAACCCAAGTTACACACACAAGTATTCTCAATAGTCCTATAATTTTCTTGAGAGGAGATGTCTAGCATGCAGCAACCATTCAACGCAGGCCAATCCCAAGGCCAGGGCCAGGTATGAAATTTATGTTTCCGATTCAAGCACGGTTGACGGCACTGCTATTTCCGCCCACTTGTCATATTTTCCCGCTCATCAACTAGTGAAATGTTCAGAGACAAATGAATATAAGGTGAGTGGGGAAACAAGACAAGTGCGTGGGTGCAGTAACTCTTTGATTATCAGAGTATAATTTATTAGATAATGGCCAGACCATTGTACCCCGAAATTTGTGAAACAATGCCATATATTACTGTTGTTGTTGGTGCAGGCTAAGGCAGAAGAGTGGATGCAGTCCACACAGGAAACAGCACATCAAGCTAGGAACGCGACTTCTGATGCAGCTCAATCAGCCAAGGAGTCTGCCCAGCATGAAAAGGACCAAAGTGCTGGATTTCTTCAGCAGGTTAACTATATATTTCTTTCTGAAGATATGATTTTTGCCTCTAAAACTTAATTTTCTCTACATAAAACCCGACATAAGTTTTTTTTTTGAATAAAACTCATGATTAGATTCCACATCAGCAAATTCATTAATTATGTTTGACTTCACACATTAAAAAAATTTCGGATGCCTAAAATACCCCTATTTGATTTTTTTTTTTTAATGTTTATAAACCCTATTTGAATGTTGATGTACATAATTAATGCCATGTGAATGGATGGTAAGGGAGAATTAATGATTTTACAAAAAAAAAAAACATTAATGTTATAAATTCTATATAATAACATAAAACATGTCTAATATATGTTATTATACATGCTTAATTAAGTCAATAAAATGATATTTTACATATTAATGTCGGTAAATTATTTCTCTATCTTTCTCTCTCTCTCACATATATATATATATATATATATATATATATATATGCATGAAAATTTTGAGCGATGCTTTAGGGACTAAACTAATTAAGTTTAGAGGATCGCATATTATGTAACGGGTAAAGTTCACTTGTTACATTGATTAATTACTGTACTCAGTCGTCAATAAACGTGTAATTAAGTTATCTAGTAATCAGCTAATGTGGTCAAAAGATTGTCAAGTAATTTTCAACTGTACACGGACTATAATACAAACAAGTGGGATCTCCTTTCGGTATATTTTTGTATGCAAAATGAATGATCATCATGTAGGCTTGGATTTAGTCAATATATAAACCTTGTAAACTTCTGATAGAGCTATTCTCAATTGTTACAGACTGGAGAGCAAGTGATGAACATGGCACACGGTGCTATGGACAGCGTGAAGAACACACTCGGAATGAATGAAAAGAAATGAAGAAGATATATACCAGCAGCAGCCACATCTTCCTGTTATGATGTGTGAAGATGTTTTATTAACTAATTAGCATCTACGATGGAGTTAGGGTTTTGTTAATTAGGAGCATTCCTTGCTCTTAATTCCTTATCATTCCGGACACTCAAGTTAATTTGTCTGTTAGAGTCAGACTGAGAAGTCTTCGAAAGAAGGCTCCTGCCATCAGTTGTAATAAACTCTACAGATATATTCTTTAGTTTGTTTTCCATTTTTCTTTCACATTACAGCAGTCAATGTAATAAAAGCTAAATACTACTGCAATAGTGCCATATTGCCATGCAATGCAAACAAAGTTGGTTTCTTTAATTACCTTTGTTAATTAATCTCCATCATATATCTGTTAGGTATTACATCCAATTAACGTTGATCATTTTGTGTAATAGGTAACACACACACACACACACACACACACACACACACACACACACACACATATAACTACTAGGTCCCTTTTAAATCCTCTAAACTGATTGTTCAATTAGCTGTAACAAATTTTCCAGTGTCTCCCTCATGACCTTATTATCTTGAACAACGTCATCATTGTCCACCAAGGTCTCATGTTCAACAAGGTTCCAACCATCTTCAACAACGGCAAAGCTCTTCACCTGGCTTAGCCATACGACAGACCATGACCAACCTCAACTACGTCATGATACGTACCGAGATATATTTCCCACGCTAGAGAAAGTTTGTAAGCGAGATGTCTGGTCATCATCAACAACAGCAGCAGCAGCAAGAAAACTCACCGGGCGCTTTGGTGTAACAATATCTGGTTCTGAAACAAAGAAACTCCAAAAGTCTAAGCAAACCTCAAAAAAATTGGGTGTCATCCACGTATGAGAACTTTATAAGATATTCAAGACCAATCACATTGGATGGTTCAAGCACCCAACGTGATGACTGTAAAACAAGTGAGAAACAGTGCCAAATTGTTAACGATTTCCACGATGTCTAGATTCGTATGATCCAAGTACAAGGGACGGGTACTCCGTAACCACCCGATGACCGCATTATACATCTTAACACGCACCCCATTCGGTGGTGATACAATATTAGAAGTAAGTGCTACGATGACAACCTCTGTGAAACATTGAAGGGTGAAATTCTGGTATGCATGAGCAGGCAAAAGATGCACAAGGATATCAACCAAACGGTCAATTTGGTCGAGGTGAAAGCATGAGAGGAAAGCATGCAACGTGGAAAACTTTGCAGGTATAACCTCGGGTTCTTGATGATTCTATTGTTGTGAATGTTCGCATAAATAAAAAAAGAGATTACCATAACTTCTCAATGTCACTACACCCTCTTTGCACTTCGTATTTGAGTAATATTCTTGCCTTAAAAGGTTCAAAATGTCCATACAATTAACACACAAATGGGATTCAGAATAATGTCTTTCTCTCACCATGCAAACGACTCATGTTTCAAATTCTAAAACAATATAGTGTTGTGTACAATTAGAGGCCTCTTGGTCATGAGGTAGATTAAAAATGCAGTTAGTCCTATAACTTTCGAGGCCTCTTCATGGGCTAACGTGATATGAAAATTTGATATTGATTGTGTGGCTTTGGCTTCTCCTAAGTTGATGTTTTTATGTTTCAAAACGATAAAACGACAATCAATCGCACAATTTGATCTAAACTAAAACTGTGTTTAATTGTGATTATACGTCGGTTTAAAAACAAGTCTCACGTATAATACTAGCATGTCATCAATTTAACAAACTATTAGACATTCAAATAGACAAAATGCCATCACTTACTAGATTTTTTAAGATTTCAATAAATAAAAAAATAAATTTGATTTTTTTATTCAAAAATTAAACAAATTTGATTGAGACATCCATAACTGTCAAAGGGTAACGACAGTAACGGTAAAGCTTAGCTCCTTCTCAGAGCTTCCACTCCCCTCCACTAACTACACGAAGAACCGAGCACGTACTCTTCTGCAAAAATCTCCAAACCTCTACAAAATCCTCCTCCATTTCTCCACAAAATTACATATCTGCCGCCACCACCCTCTCTCTTCCACTCTGCAACTCAGCCATGGCGTCTCTGCAAACCCACCATTACCATCTTCAACTCCACCGCCGCTGCGTCTCCTCTCTCACTGCCCCCAAACTCCGCAACCTTCGATTCCCCAACCTTTCTCTGCGCTTCCCGGCTTCATTGCCCGGTAAAGTTAGGGTTTTTACTCTCAGAGGAAATGGGAGGGGCAAGGATGGAATTTACTCGTTTTGCTGCGTTTGCAGAGCTGGCGCTGAGATTGAAAAGGTTGATGGTGAGGAAGGAAGTGAAAGGCCTCCTTTTGATATTAATTTGGCAGTGGTTCTTGCAGGTTTTGCTTTCGAGGCCTACTCGAGCCCTCCTGTAAGTGTTTATCAATTACAGTTTCCACTTTTTGCTCCTTGGGTCATGATAAATTGTTTGTTTTCTGAGAAAATTGAAGAAAATTGAGGAAAGGGATAGGAATTTAGCTGTTGAGTGTGAGGAAATTAAAAAATTGGAAAAAAGTAAGTTAACAGCATCACATTTTTTTATTTTATATTTGTCTTGCATTAATTGGTTAGTGAAATGAAAGGTTTAAGTTTCGTATCATCGGCCTTGTTGGGATTCTGATGGTGGATTACCTTGAGCGGTTTAGTTTCAAATTCATCCGGTTTGTTGGAATTGTTTTGTTCAGGGTAATGTTGGAAGGCATGAAGTTGATGCTGCAGATTGTAAGACAGTGTATCTTTCAGAGTATGCATTCACTTCACTTTTAAAGACATAGAAATATAATTTTTCGATCTGTTGTAGATATAGACGTATCCAACTCCGATAAAATGATGTTAATTTATATTTGCATGTCAGTGATTCATATCTAAGTCGTACTGATTCATGTTTCTAGGTGCAAGTAACTCATTAGCTGATAAACTGGTTACTTTATGACAAAATATGCTTTTAATGAACGCAGGTCATTTATACGTGAGATCTATGATGGCGAATTATCTGTTAAACTGAAAAAAGGTCTCGAGTTACCTGCCATGGATCCATGGGTTTGTTATGTTTCAACCCTTTTTGCATTCAAAATTACAGTGATCAATTTATACGACAGTGTTCTATAATCTTGTATACTTCATGTTTCCTATTTTTTCCTGTTTTCCTTTTCCTTTGCTGATCTATTTTGACCTTTTCGTATGCTTCTAGGGAACAAGTGATCCATATGTAATTATGACATTAGATGGTCAAGTCGTAAAAAGCAAGGTTAAATGGGGGTAAGTTTGATACTATAATGTTTAATTTTAAAAGGCCAGAGTTTGCTTAACATATACATATCACCAGGATCCATAAAATTTCATGAGCATTTGCTTTAATTCAACTCATAAGTTTGATTTTGTTATATTGTTTTTACGAATAATGTGGGGGCAGGACCAAAGAGCCAACATGGAACGAGGACTTCAGTTTTAATATCAAGCTGCCTCCTACCAAAAATCTTCAGGTCAACATGTATTCTCACTAAAATATATACTTGTTTACTTAGTGCAGAAAGCTCTTGCTTATTATTTCATTTCTTTTCATCTCTCTGTGTTTGAAGAGAAATTTTAACTGTTTTGTGCTGAAAGGATATTTCCTTTTTCCGGCCAGTTAGCTACAATATTAATGATACACAGTTGTTGATACAAAGTTGTTTAACTATTTACTCTTGAAGCTGAAGATCTTTTCTTAAGGACTTAACATTCTTGGCATGTTAGCTCTTGATCATATTCTTTTCTCTAATTTCCTCATATCTGGCATCAATTTTTAGGTTGCAGCTTGGGATGCAAACCTTGTAAGTCCACATAAACGAATGGGGAATGCGAGCATCAGTCTAGAAGACCTTTGTGATGGTAAATTTCAAGTCCATCATTTACATGGTGTTCGTGTTTTAAAATGATGGATCATTATCTTGCCAGATTATTGGGTTGGTTTTATTAGTCCATTCAGTAATCAAGGTATTATGTTTGTAGTACTATTAGTATAGGCCCTAGAGGATGATTCGGTGGCTACTAAAAATAGGGAAATGTCATTGTATTTTAGTTTATCATGATTCCATTACGACTGTTAATGTTTATAGATGAGGCTATATTTTTTTTTTCCTTGTCAAAATGATCAAATATCATATATGTATTTTTCTAGGAAATTTGCATGAAGTACTGGTGGAATTGGAAGGAATGGGAGGCGGTGGAAAAGTACTTTTAGAGGTAAGTATCTCTGGTGAAATAAAATTGTGATATAGGTAGATGCTTCCAGAGAGAAAGAGGCATTGCCTTGTTTCCTGTTGTGAGAATGCCCCTTACTTTGGTTTAGGATATCATGTATAACAAAAAAACCACATGTTCTGACTTCTGTGTAAGGCTGTTATAGCTCGCCCCTTATGGACACACACACACACACACACACACACACACCCACCCACCCACACCCACACCATACAATACAAGTCTAAGCCATGAAAAGGTTCCCTTCACTGAAAATCTTGTTCTAAAACAATCCCGGAGGTGCCTCAGGATTTCTGGAAGGAATGAGATTGTTCTACTTCTGGAATGCCTTACTTTGGTCTCCTTTTCCATGGCTGTTTTCTAATCTCTCATATTCTAGGGAAATACAACTGGAGTAACCATTTCCTTTAAGAGAAAAAACATGAAAATTTGAAGAAAAAAAGAAGAAAGAGAATCACCACAGCAATTGTGTGGTACATACTCCTTGTAGTTGTCAGTTCTTTCAGTGACTTAAGTTGACACTTAATACACTGTTTTAAGTACTTTGCTGTCATTATTGAAGTCCTAATATTTCTCTGCTAGTAATGAAAGTTTTTGTAAATTGTTTGTGTTTGGTTCTTGCAAAATTCTTTCATATAATGCTGTTGTTCTAATTTGTATTTGCTGTGATGGTCTTAGTGGACCTGCTTTATAGTTTTACATTGAAATTCTGTTTTGGTGTACTGTTCTATTTGAGTTGTAACTGCTAGTATTGAACTTTCAGGTCAACTATAAAACTTTTGATGAAATTGATGAGGCAAAAAAGTGGTGGAGTAGGGTCCCCTTTGTTTCCGACTTTCTCCGTAAAAATGGTTTTGAACCTGCTATGAAAAAAATGTTTGCTGGCTCGGACACTGTGCAAGCACGTCAATTTGTGGAATATGCTTTTGGGCAGCTAAAGTCATTCAATAATGCAAACCTTATGAAGAATTTAATTGCAAGCGGTGATGTGAATGACACAAAAGGCACTGGGAAATCTAATTCTGCTGGTGTGTCAGATGTGACTTCCCAGATGGGTAGCGTAGCAGAAAGTTTTTTAGATAATGCAGGCTTCAATGCAAGCAGCAATGTAGACGAGTCCAGCATAGATAATGGTGGTGTGGAGAATGGACATACCCCTGAACCACTGAAAGAACTTGGTGAAGAAACACAATCAGATAAGAATTTCTGGAAGAAATTTGCCAATGAAATCAATCAAAATGTTGCTGAGAAATTTGGTCTGCCAGTTCCAGAGAAATTAAAGTGGGATGGGTTTGATATATTAAACAGATTTGGTTTGCAGTTACGAGAGATAGCAGAAGCATCTTATATTGAATCAGGGCTTGCAACTCCAGAAGGCTTAGATGTTGATAAGGATAAAACAACTAGCCCACTTTCCATTAGCATGATTCAGTCTTCACTTCCAGATATTAAGAAAGCAACAAGGGATCTATTAAAGCAAACTGATTCTGTTTTAGGAACATTTGTGGTTCTAACTGCTGCAGTATCTGAATCAAACACAGAATCAAATGCGGTAGGAACGAGTGAAACTAAAGTAGAGGATAGTAGCAATGTAGAAGATGATGCCTTGACTGATCCCACAACCAAGGAGATTGCTAGCGCACGGGCTGCAGAGGAGATGAAAGAACTCTTTTCTAGTGCAGAAAGTGCCATGGAGGCTTGGGCGATGCTTGCTACTTCTTTGGGACACCCAAGTTTCATAAAGTCTGAGTTTGAGAAACTATGTTTCTTAGATAATGCAACAACAGACACACAGGTAAGGACTTTTCCCTCTGAAAGTATTATAGTTGATCTCTCTAAATCTGAAGAATCATGACACCTACATGTGGCACTGGCAAGATGCTGTCAATAAACTGTGAGATATATATTGTGGATAATTACATTATAGGAAACTGCAGGTGGCAATTTGGCGTGATTCTGCTCGGAAAAGACTAGTTATTGCTTTCAGGGGAACAGAACAGGCAGGTTATATATATTTTTTGTTCTATAATGGAGTTTGGCTATGTATCTTCTGGTTCTAAATGCCTGGACTCTAATTGTTGCAGTCAAGATGGAAGGACTTGCGAACAGATCTGATGGTAGCTCCTACTGGGTAATATCTATTTACTTATCAAGTTATAATCGGTTTGTTTATTTAATTGACATTAGTGATTTGTGATCATCCTTCCTAATTTTCTTTGGAGTCATAATGCATGTAACTATGTAAGTAGATTTTTAAAACCAGGCAAGGTCAACCAATTTCTTGAATGGTCTGGGTTCCTGTTCGGATTAGCAGAAAAAACCATCCCATCCGTATTAGTACAGGTCCTACAGGAAATCTTGTTATGCTTAACCACCCACTTGGAAGTTGGACCAATCTTGAATTTTTTTGGTGGACAAACCTTTGAGCTAGTTATTGATAAGAAAACCCTTTGAACTAGTTGTGCTTGAGGAAAACCGGCAAGTTATTCTTTGAAAGAAAAGTATGTATTGAAAGTCAAATTTTGGATTCAAACCACAGGTCTGTACGTTAGATGGCAACACTTGATTGATGCTACCGATCACTTATATTTTATTAACCATTATATTATGTTATGGTCCAACCACGGTCAGAGTGGTGACCCATGACCCAGTCACTTTAGCTGGGTTGCCAAACGGTCCAGGTTTAAACAATCTCTTATGCACTAAGTTTCTGAGTACTTGTTTATTATATTGTCTCACTTAATGTTCCACAGTTTTAGATATGCCCCATTAAGTTAAGTTTTATAGTTTCTTACAAATGTTGGATTTTATACCTTTATAGGCTAAATCCAGAAAGAATAGGCGGAGACTTCAAACAAGAAGTTCAAGTAAGGAAAATCTATTCTTTTGTGGGTGAAATGAACGGATTATTGACGAAACACTGTCTCTATGCATTTACTGATGGTGACTAGATAAATTCAGGTTCATAGTGGTTTCTTAAGGGCATATGATTCAGTCAGGATAAGGATCGTCTCTCTCATGAAATTGGCAATTGGTTATTTGTAAGTTCTAACTTTTTTTAGATTTATTTTTCTTATTTAATTTAGCTTGTTTCCTAATTGCATACAAGTCAAGTAGTATAGGACAGTCAATATCTAAAAGAATCACACAGATTTGCTTCAGTTTGATTAATCTAAGTAAGATGTTAATTGTTTATTAATAAGCACTGAAGTCATTTCGAAGATAAAATCCTTGGAACCTTTAGGCTAAGTTATAAGTTAGATGTTAGTTTAGGGTATCGTTTGTTAAAAAAAAAACAGGTTAGATATTATTTATTTATCAATTTTTATTCTACTTTCTCCTTGAGATTTCCAAAGCACGAGTTTTCTTTATTTGTGGATTGGCAAGTATGAGAGTTCACTTCGTTTTGACAGTGATGATATTGCTGAGCCGCTGGACAAATGGCATGTTTATATAACGGGTCATAGTCTAGGTGGTGCATTGTCGACCCTCCTGGCTCTTGAACTTTCCTCAAGTCAGCTAGCAAAGTGAGTTCTTATTTTCTATGCAGTGAATTCATTATACTTTTTGTTGGAATTTGTAAGTGGAAGTATCTATTCGTGTATGCAAAAGAGCATGTCTGTACATGATCACTTTTAACCATAGATTATGTTGGACTCTGATCATAACTTGTACTAACCCAGTTTTCTCTTATGTCTGTAAGTTGTGCTTGTTTTATTCATCCTGTTATACTTTTGAAGAAATCTTAGTTTAAAATGTGTAATCCATCAATTTCCAGCACATGCTTGGGACTTTTTTGATGAAAATAAACAAAATAGAAGTACAGATATTTGATGATAGTTGTTAGAGACTGATGTCTCGTGCCACTGATGTTGTCGTACTTTCACACAAGCAAACTGCCATAGTGCATCTCTATGTTATATTGGAAGATGCATTACACCACTATCTAACATTAATTCAATTAATTTAATTCTATGGTAATAGACCTTTGTTTTTTTTATCTTTTTCTGTTTATTAGGCGTGGACTGATTTCTGTGACCATGTATAACTTCGGATCTCCTAGGGTTGGTAACAAAGTATTTGCCGAAATTTATAACGAGGTAAGCATTGGAATTGGGATTTCCTAGTTGTTTCCAGCATGTGCTTTTAATTCTTCATTGAAGTATTTGGGTAAATGCCCTCAGCTTTCTTTTTCCACGGCTCCATTTTCATTTCTGCTGCAGTCATCTCTGGTTGCAACTTGGAACAACTCATCTTCTATTCCTAGTATAAAATGTAGCTGCTAGTCTTGGTAGAGTCAAGCAGAAAATAATTTTAAAATATAGGATTGTTATAAAGGAATTTATTCATTAGCAGAAAATTTCCCAACCCACTCTGTCATTCTAAATGTTGGATGATTTAATTACCATATATATGCGTGGGTGTGCGTGTGCGCTCATGTGTGTGCGTGTATTATTATTAGAGTTTTATGATAGTTCGATTTGACTACTTTGGACTTGTACTTAGAGGAATCATGAAGTCAGATCCACGTTGTAATAATTTCCCTCATGAAATTAAAATAATAATCGAGCGTGTGAACACGCACACCCACGCATATATACATTTTGTATGCTACATGTGTATTTTTCTGGTGAATATTTATTCAGCATACAAAACTTACCTTTGCAGAAAGTCAAAGATAGCTGGAGAGTTGTAAACCACAGAGACATCATCCCTACAATCCCCCGCCTGATGGGATACTGCCATGTAGCTCAACCTGTTTACCTAGCAACAGGAGACCTAAGAAATGCCTTGGTGGGTAATTCATTTTGTTATCTAGGAAAGTTTTCCATTTACTCTCCAACCGCACTTATAGTTAATTCATAGATGTATTATTTGTGGATAGAGTAAATGGTGCCCTTGCAATATCTAGGAGACTGTGATGTCGGCAGTAACAAGTTAAATGATATGTTCCTCTAGAAACTTGTGATATCAGATTTATAAATCTCGTGCTTTAGGATGCAGAATTGTCTCTCTCTGATTAGGTTCTAAGACTTGTCGTCATTTAAAGTTTACTTCGAGAGCTGTTTGAAATGTTTTTGGGGTGCTTGCTTGTGTGAATAATGAATATAGTACATTTTTACTTAAATCTGAGCTAATAATTCCATCCAGGGAAATATGGAGCTCTCTGAAGATGGTTACCAAGCTGATGTGATTGGGGAGTACACACCAGATGTACTTGTCGGTGAATTCGTACGTTCCTCGTCATTCAATCTTTTTCATTTTGCTAGTACGCTTGCTTATGGATTTCTAATGTCAGATTCGTATGTCCATTCATAAATCCAATCTTCAGATATGCTGCATATTCATAATTTTATATCATTGATTTCAATTATATATTAAGAAATTAACAAAAGAACCATTCATAAGATAAAATTCCTCAAGAAATTAAAATGAATCAGGCTTGGTGTGTTCATGATGTTAGTAACAACCAAGCTGTTCATAATGACTTTCATGTTGCAGATAAAACCAATGAAAATAACCAGAAAAAACTGTTGTCTTGATAGGTCACTAGATCTCACCAGGAGTTATCGACGAGGCTTGGCTTTCTGAATTTTATCAGAAGTTTGACCAAATTTTTGTTTTTCCTACAGATGAAGGGTGAGAAGGAGCTTATCGAGAAAATATTACAGACCGAAATAAACATATTCCGTTCAGTCAGAGATGGGACTGCACTTATGCAGCACATGGAGGATTTTTACTACATCACATTACTAGAGGTACATTCATCTGTTTGAGTTCATATATAATATTTCTTCAGTAGTCATATTTCGGGGGTATTTTTTGGTGTTTGCAGGCTATTTTTAATTGCGACACATATTGCCATGAGTTGTAACTATCTATTTGTTCTAATATCTCCCTCTCAATGTCAGTTGTTAACCTCGTCTTTCTTTCCAGAATGTGAGATCGAATTACCAAGTTGCAGCAAGGACGCTGTCCGAAGAACAAGTGAATGCGAAAGTTAGCTGAAGACCAGACTAGACCATGCCAAAGTACAGAGGCATCCGGGAAGCAACTAGTCGCTTCTGGCGGAACTTCTATAAGATCGACCACTACGTGGAGTGTGCGACGCTTAAGCATGCCTTTCGTCGAATGTATTAATTTGTAATTACCAATACTTTCAGGTATTGTACCTACAACATACCAACATTAGTCAGGTACCATAAATTTATCCAAAGCTTTACATTCTATACATGTTTATAGAGATCAGCAGCCATTTGTAACTCAAAAGTTTTAGTTTACTTCTAATATCAAGAGTCTCCTTTTTGTTTTGGGTCAAAAAATACCAACAAATAGGTCAAGTATCAAAAGTTTCCCAATTCTGAACTGTTTAACTGTTAGAAACACATTCAAAAGCTTAAGTTATCATAAACTGGGTCGATAATGTACATCAAACTTACACCAATTCCTTTCTCGCATCAATTTTGCACGTTGAGAGGCATAGCAATAGAGTAAGAAAGACAACATATAAGTACAGTGCAGCACCAACCTACAAGAAATTGCAAACTAGCTCCAAAAAAAAAAAAAAAAAAAAAAAAAAAAACGAAATTGCAAACGAGATCTTAGAGGTCATGACCGCTTACAAAGAAGACTCTGATACTGTGTTAGACAACTAGGATTTGAAAACTTAATTGTAAGATAATGAACTAACAATATTGTCAAGCTTAACAACATTCTCTTCCTCACTTGCATGCTATTCCTACACGCGGAGAGTCATACCAACAAAGGAAGATAAACAAGCAGATGGGTGGAGCACCCACCCTACCCGGCATAACTAACAAACGAGTTGAAAACAAGAATCAAACTCTCGATTACTTGCAAAGAAGACTTTGATAATATGTTAAACAACCACAAAATTTCAAGATTTTGGAGAAGTCTATCTGATACTATGTCAACGTCAGGTCAGGATCTTGTTCACAAATGGATCGGTTGGGGTGGGGAGAAGCTATTTTTATACCATGTCAAGATTTCAGGGTCACATGCACCGGATCCTTGGAATGCGATCATACCAGCTCACATGCACCAAATCCCATCCGAACTCCGAAGTTAAATGAGTTGGGTGACCACCTAGGAAGTCCTTGTGTTGTATCTCCCCACAGCCGACCCCACTGATGGGAAAAGGCTTTGTTGTTGTTGTTGTTGTCAAGATTTCAGAGTCAAGTCTGTAGCCCACTACTAATCACACCGATATTGTCCCAACATAATAACGTACACAACCCGACATGCATTGAGTTATCATTAATAGCAAAACGACCCATTTGTAAGTAACAAATAATAATACATTTTATCAATTTTCCGATGTGAGATTGTATTAAGCACAAAACCCTTGAAGCTTAACCTATCAAAGAAGGGGCCAACAATGTGTACTAAGCTTACATTCACAAGTTCCGCATTCTAGTAAATTAAGAGCATGCTCTTAATTGGTTCTCAACACAAACAGAATTGACAGCACTTGCAATGATGGAGACAGAAGAGACTTTCACTTGCATTACAAATTTGCAAATGCTAAAATTTGGAGCCTAGTAGGAAGCCCCCTTTGTCCTGATTCCTAATTCATAATTCCTAAACAAATACCATTGGCTATAGTTTTAGACCAAGGGAGATAACTACCACCGTCCAGAAAAAAGGAAGATAAGACACCACTGAGGTTGTGGTCCTCTATTGAAAAATTATTGACAGGAATAATCCCTGGGCCTCTGGTGGGGCCCACATTTGAGACCCGTCATTTATGCATCTGACTTCTTGAGAGACCAATATTTCTCCTCTGTTATGCTTTTGCTGGATTGCTCTTGTGACTTGTTCTGTGAAGCAATTTGTATCCTTGATTTGCTTGAGCATGAGTTAGGATCCATATTTCATACTCTTGAAGAACGTAAAATCCCATGTTGGAAATCTGATAGAATAAAATATTACCTAAAAACGTCGGATTGTGCAGATAATTAAGTTGCGGACAATGTTAATATTGATTAGTTGTTAGCCGATAATCCTTCTATAAAAGCATAACACGTACATCATATGTATTAGAGGAGACTTGAACTTTTGCATCTGCGTATAATTTACATTCTTAATCACCAGAGCTACAAACACAACTATGTAATCGTGCCAAATTATTCATAATTTATAATTTCGTTCCGTTACACATAACTGAACTCGAAACTTTGAGTTTACATCTAAACGTGATGATTACAATTTTCTGGCCAGTTTCAGTTTCACGAGCTGTGAATCTCTAGAAACATTCTTAGGGGCGTGCATTGTCTTCTTGCAGCTGATGATTCGTAAGCTCTGCCTTAATATGTCAATCTCTCTTTCCTTCTTGAAATGTTCATGCTCCATTGAAGCTATTTTGGATTTTAGACATGCAATCATTTCTTCCTTGGCTTTGAGCTCTCTCTTTAGCTCTTCTACTGTGTCTTCTTCCTCTGCCTTCCAATACAGCCCATTTCCTGCGGTAAATACCAAATCTCCATCACATCGATACATGAATAAATATTATACATATAAATGTATATGTATACACATTAGTAAAGAATTCATAAGTTCAAGTTCGATTCCCTCAAATGTAACTGGAAAAACGATTAAATATGCTTGTAGGTAATTGTAATGATGAAAAATTCTGGTTTTTATGATTTTTTTTTTTTTTTTTTTTTTTTTTTTTAAGGAAAAAGTAAGACCCACCAACTGCTGAACTATGATGTGGGTTATCATTAACAATAATATAACTATGAAAATTGCCATCATGTTTTCTGAGATTGAACAACCGTCATATTCCAACAAAATTAAGACTGGGTGCTTCTAGACCAAGTCGCAATCAGAAAGTTCGCCTCATATCCTGATACATGTTTATGAGAATTATGCAGATTAGAGATTGCTTGGAAGTGACTGAGTACCTGTGTTTTCTGTGTTTGTGTGACTGTGTATGTAGAGAGAGAGAGAGAGAGAGAGAGAGAGAGGGAGAAAGAGAGAGAGTTACCACAATGTGTCCTCTGAATGAGATCATCAAGCTCCACCTTAATAGCCAGATAAAGCTGCTTCCACTTCTCCACGGTCTCATCCCTCCTTGCTCTCTCCTCCCTCATTTGCTCAGCCAGAAAAACACTCCCCAACAACACTTCCCACTCTTTACTATTATTCTCCCCACCACCACCATCACCACTCTTATTATCATTCCCACCTCCCACCACCACAACCCCACCACAATCCTCCATTCTCCTAATCCTTTCCTCCTTCTCTTCCACAACCTTCCTCAGCATCTTCACCTCCTCCCTCATCTTCTTCTTCTCCTGCTTCCACTCAGCCTCCTTGAATTCGAACACCATCATGTCCCTCTCATATGCCGCACTCTCCTTCTTCCTCTCACACACCATCCCACTCATCTCCTCTTGAATACTCCTCACCTTATCTCTCAACCCACCAGCATTTCTCTCACTTAAATTACCCCTCTTCTTGCTCGCAAACCCGCCCATCTGCCAGTGATTTTCGCACTCCCGCTCTCTTTTCTCAGAGGAGCCTTTGTGACATAAATTTTATCCAAGGGGGAGATTTTGTCAGAGGCTCCTCTTGCTCTTTCACTTAATGGAGAGTTGTCTATTTTTATAAGAGGGCTAAGCTAGTTAGGTTCTCACTCAGTCTCACACAAAGTTAATAATAATTGATGGAAGGAGAATGAATGAGCCAATGAATGAGGATCGTGAAGAGACTTGCTAGTGTCTTTTATGCTAACATCATGTGATGATTTTAACACAAATTGGGACACACATGATCTGTGTGCAATATAATTGGATTATTCCCAAAGTCACATGCAATTAATTTTCTTATTTAGAAGCGTGCATGGGTCTACATTATCTACATTTTGCACTAATATGATATGATATATAACATTCTATTAGTACTGTCATAGACGCACTAGTACCATTTGGTTAAAAAACTTTAACTAATTATTGTTTGTATTGACTACTGACATACAACCACATGATATAGTATTTTAGTATGAAGCATGGATACGGATATGACGATACGACATGACACAGTGATATGAAAAATTTCTAAAAATTAAGATACAATACGCTATGGATATTGTAAATATATATATATAGCAATAAAATAAACATTTTAAAACATAATTCATCATTCAAATTCAAGTACATTTAAGTTGTTGGAGAAGAAAAGTTGGAAATCTAATCCTCTTTATACACAGTAAAAGGAGTGTGAGAGCCGTATTCCTGGTTTTAATTAGAGTGAAAGGAGTGTGAGAGCCGTAAGAGGAAATCTAATCCTCTTTATACACAGTAGAAGGAGTGTGAGAACCGGGTACGCGTATCCATCGAGTCAAAGCCGTGTTCATTAACCATGATACGTGTCCGACGAGAATCCGAGAGTATTGGGCGAGTATTGGGCAAGTATCGTATCCGATCAAGTATCGAATACGGAATACGTGACCAAACATAAGTATTTGTGTATCATATGGCAAGTTTTAACACGTGTTTTATTTACTAATATTATATCTTATATCTGCACACTTCATTCACACAATGACCTTTTTAAAGCAATGTAGAGAAAGATTAGGCGACGATTAGCACCTTAGCAATACACTATGTTAGTAAATAAAGTGTGCACCTTAGCAATACACTATGCTATCCAGCGTGTGAATCCCCCTAGGCAATACACTATACTATCCACCCAGTGAACAGTAACCGCCCTTAATGAACAGTAATCGCCTTTTTGCATCTCTACCGTTGCACTTCAATAGCCCTGGCAATAGACAATAAAATATTAGTATTTTATTTATTTATAAAATAATACAAAATAATTTTAATTGTAATTTCGGATAGGATTTTTAATAGTTTTCGTTGCTCCAAGTGTCATTATCCGAAAAGTTATTAAATAATACAAAATAATTTTGGATTGAAACTTTGAGAGAAAGATAGGAATTTGATAACATAGTGTATTGCCTAGGGTGAATAGCATAGTGTATTGCCAACGGTGGAGTTGCTCAAAGACGCCAACCCTGTCTCGAAGGGCAAGGACCACGACACCCGGCAAAACCCTGAACCCTTCTACATCAACCTTATTTTTTTTAACTTTGCAGCATACCAAACCATATTTTTCATATATTGTAATAACTGTGTGTTATTAGCCAATATTCCATTCCCAAATAGATTGTAAAAATACTTTTGCAATGTCATTGCACTAGCTGTCCGAGGAGTAAGAGCCAACCTATACAGTTTGTACTTCAGATGGAACTCAGTATTCCTTCAATGATTTTGCATATTCTAAATAACGACCCAGATTTAAACATTTATTTACATTCTTCCACAGTAACCTTTTCTGTACGGATTACACAAAGTATGAAATGTGCATTCCTAAATGATTATTTTTAATTTATTCCAAAATAACTCACTTAATTAATCATAATTCTGCTTAATTACCATGGTAATTCTATCGAAAGAGCTACTTGTAGAAGAAGCTTGGGGGACCACCAAAAGATGTAAAATTCCGTGGTGTGTGTCCAAAAGTCCCTTGATAGATAGATAGATAGGTAGATGGATAGTAAATTTTATAAATTTATAACCAAACAAAACGTTTATGGGGATATTTGTTTATATATGTTTCCACCCTATATGTGGAACGACAATATTTATTGTTATCTCTTTGGATTCCCACTCTGAAAGGGACTGGGAGATGTTTGGTGGTTTGCAATTTATGAGAGTGCACTACGGTAGTATAAATGGTTCAAGCAAAGTCTAGGTTAAGCCATGATGTTAGATTAGGGAGCTGATTAAGTTCGAACCCACGTCATGGTTCAAAGGCAACACTTCTCTCTACCACTATGGTAGAGGGCCACTTGCTACCAATTACTTATGAATTACACATACATGCTTGGAATGTTAGGTTTTTTTAATGCATATTCTCCCGAAAACGTATATCTAACATGCAGTCCGTATGTGATGTTCAAATCAAATAGAAACATGGCAGACTCATTAAGTTTTGTGAAAACTTTTTTAAAAACCATACAACCCTTAACATCATGAAGCTCGGCTTAGGTGAAATTACAAGTAGCAATCACAAGAAGCCCTCCTCAATTTCAGGATGATGTTTTAACAGAAATTGTATCAAATTATTTGTCTAAATATCCTAATGGTGACCAATCATCACGACATATAGATAATGTTAATGCAATGATTAATCATTCAAGGTATGCATATATAATAACATAAATAAATCAATAAAGACTACATAACTATGTTAAGGCTCGTGATCTCACCCAAACAAAAGGAACTTAGTTACTCATAATCATATAATTAAAATCAAAGAAAATATCATTGAGAAGAAAAGGATTGAAACCTGCAAATCAGCAAGCCTATGCCAGGTTGTCTCTCAATGTCACGTCGTACACCCTAATGGCTGGTTGGGTGGTTATAAATAGCCCTTTATTCATAATCCTACCTAAATAAGTTCTTCTGAAAATGGAAATTAAATAACAAAGTGATAACTTAAAATCAAAATCCTAATCTAACTAACCAATCTACCCAGTCAAATAATCTCCACATTTCTAGACCAAATAACCTTCAAAACTGGTTCTAAAGGTCTTGTTTTAGGACGTCCTCTACAACTTTGTAGAAGGGCCAAATTCCAAAAAAACGCCATTTTCATGCTAAGTTTACAATTAAGCCCAACATGCAATCTATCGGCATTGCGTGCTTGTCATTTAATCCTTTTCAATTAAAAGCTTTTGGAATTAAATGTTGAAACCCACGATCAAATGCTAAAACTCCTTGACAAAAAAAAAAAAAAAAAAAAAAAAAAAAAAAAAAAAAACAATGTTGAAATTCTAGTATAGTCTTTTTGACAAACTTGCGAACCCACTTTAATTGAAATTACTAAAAACTTACTGTTGCGTCACATTATGCCCAAAATGGATTCACATGTCATACATGTAAATACAAATCATAATATCAAAATCTCACCAAAATATAACAAAAATAAGATAAAATATATAATAATTAATATGAAATCGAATCATCACTTAAGATTCGTGTTAGTCGAATCATCACTTAAGAATCTGCATAGTGTTTTCTATGCGAAATTCATATCAAATAGTGTTGGGGTAGTGACTAGTGGGCCACCGAGTGGCTGCAAGTTGAAGAGTGTGAATAGAGAGTCATTATCTATTTGCAATCAGCGGTTCACTCGTTGTCCTCAGCAGTTAGTCCTAATATTAATACCATGTACTTCTGTATACTTATTATGCACTTTTGTTTACTTATTTTTTTAATAAGAGCAGTTATTCAGTATTACGATATGGTGATATTCATTTTTGTTTAGAAGCAAGAGGTCTTATGTTTAAATATCGTGGATGACAAATTCAATACCAAATTCGGTTGCCTATTGTGTAACTTAGCCGAACTCCCTCTCCCCCTAATGTAAAAATATCGATGTACTCAAAGAAAATAAAAAAAAAGAACGTGAACATCGAATGTGAGATATTTTCTAATATTTGAAGAGAATTACTACTAGATTTTTTTTTATATTTTCTTTTATCAAAATATAATTATTTTCATGATTCAACCTTGAAGAGTCACTAGCTATAATTGTTGGATGTATGGCCTAAATACAATTAAGACTAGTGAATCACTTAAGGTAATACAATGATTGCTCCATAATTAAGATCATAGGTGAGCTAGCTCATTGCAAGACTTAGCCCCCTAGTGTAGATGCTATTGTTTGTTCAAAAATTCATAGGAGCAGGATCACTATAGTGGAATTACAGATGTAATCTTGATACTAAGTTCATGAATAATGTTTGCATACATATATTAAGAGGTAACTACGAGAGCGGGTAAGTTCCTGAGAATATAGGTTAAATTGAGAGTACCATGTTCCATAGTACCAAAATACCAATGATAATTGGCATTTGTGAGATAATGATTTTTCAGGGCCGGAGTAAGGTGAATCGAAATACTAATACCTCATGAATTCAATCATAGATCCAATAGCTTCTATGATACTAAATTGCAAAGACAAACTATCTACGTCACCATCATCTTGTGTTCTAGATTGGATGGATGCAAAGAATGTTGGAGAAAAATTTAGAAACAATAAAATAACAGAAGTACATAATAGAAATACTTATACTTTATTATTAAAAAATAGTTGCAATACAGAATGCAATTACACAATAATTACAAAAAAAATTAAAATGATACTAACTTGAATAAATTGAAGGTAGAGGCTAGCGCAAACATTATGTCCTTCGAACAATATTTCCGTCTCACTCGTGTGCTTGTGATTCTATACCGTCTGCTCGACCAGGATACAACTATCTAATTCTACAACCCGCACTGGATTATACAACTCTAACGAATTGCTTTGTGTGTTTACTCTCTAGAAATTTTGTACGGAAGACAAGGAGGAAGAAAAGATGATTTTTTATGGAACTGAGGACTCCAGTTATATAGGCTCTTTCATACCTCTTCAAACACCTTTTGGATGTATCTGAAGCTATACAACTCTTTTCAAAGAGTTGTGTCTATTAATCAAAACATTTTTAATTAATTTAATTAAAAACTTAATTCAAAATTAAAACTAATTGATTAGATTAATTTTAATTCCTTGGCCCCAAGTGCCCCAAAGGCCTAAGGCCCTTGTATTGATT